ATGGGTATTCAAAATGAAATACACATATCTGAAGATTCAAAGCTAATGTCCACAGATGGGAGGAAACTTGGTATTTGAATTTCTAGGTCTGGGATACCTCACTCAAGGATTGTTTCCAGCTTTAAAAGATTTTTCATGTAAATCATTTGGAAAACTTAAATTTCAGTAAGATAGCAACTGTCCTCAAGTCAGTAAATAATTTCAACTCAGTTTCCATTGGAACTCCCTGCTTTCTTTTTTTTTTTTTTTGTAAAAATTAACCACCTGACCCTAAAATTCATAATGGAAATAGGATCTAGAGGAATCAAAACTATTGAAAAAGAATAATGTTGGGGGGAGGGGGGTGCTCTGTTTCTGGATTTGAAAACAATACAGAATTCGAAATGATCATGACTGATGTAAAGTTAAGCATACACTGAGGGGCAGTACCAAAGTCCAGGTAGCTATACATTAATTGATCAGTTGACGGATTTTTTTGTTTTGTTTTTTTAAACAAGGGCAATAAAATAATTCAATAAAGAAAGAATAGTCTTTAACAAGTATTACTGGGCCATCTGGGTATCTGTATGAAAAACAGTGACATTGGGGTCTTTCCAAATATACAAAAAATAACTCAGAATGAATCAAAAGACCTGCATTATGAAGATCATTATAAGACTCTTAAGCAAAAAAGTAAGTATAAATACACAACCTTGGATTAAGGAGTAGTTCCTTAGAATACCAAAGCATAAACAGCAAAAGAAGAAATAAATTGGACCACACAATAAAAACTTGTTTCAAAGGTAAAAAGTTAAAAGTAACCAAAAATGAGAGAAAATACTTGAGAATATTATATCAAATCCAAGGCAAAAGATGATTTTTCTGTTTTAAAATTTACACCATTTTGGTTGATTTTTCTTTTTGAAGTGGTTCCGAGGAGTGAGTCTAGGTCTTCTGTACTAGGAGGTGCTCCATACTAAGCTGCATCACTCTCCATCATGTTCTGCTAGTATGCAGGTGATGTTCGTTATTGGGTACATTCCAAGATTTGTCTGTGATCATGAGTCTGGTTGCCTTTCCGTCCTCTCCCTACAAAGAGGGTGCTAATGCAGTGCTCTCATCTACTGCTGAGAGGAAATGGAATTTAAGATAAAGCAACTCAAAATAATCCGAAGCTCCAAAATTACAGTTAATGGACAACAGTGTGAACCTACTTGCTTAGTTTATGAAGTAGCTCTTCAGGGTTCCTAACACATGAAGTAAATAATAGAAAGTTCTTTGGGCATCATGTGTCTCTGCTCAGCCAATCAGAATTCAGGACTATTTGTATGTAATAATGGAGTTTATTTGCAGAGGAGCTGATAAGTAGGTAGGACTTACAGGACACAGCAGTGGTTCCAGTGCTCTCAATTGTCGAAGAGAAGAGTGGTCTGGTGTGCTTAACTTTCCACAGTATGAATTCTTACTCTAGAATTGTATCAGCTTATTTTTTCGTTTATAGGTTTTAAAATAGTTATTAGCACTTCTAAAGGGAACATTATTGGTGATTGCTTTTACTTTTGATGAAATTTAATGGAATGTGAAAATGCCAGGAATCTTATGAAAATGTCTTCGAGATTTTCATCACCATCTTTACCAGTTTTCCTCTCACCGGAGCCGGCTGACTTAGGCTCTCTGACAAGTGATTCCTGTTCACTAAATGAGCTGGACAATATTTCCCATCTTTTGAGGAAAATAGCAACCGACATCAATGAGATTAAAGGGATGAAAGCAGCTATTTTGACAGTAGAAGCAAACCTTTTTGATTTGAACGTTAGAGTGTCCCAGAATGAAGCCAAAATTTCATCTTTAGCGGTTAAAATGAGTGAAGATTCAGCATCAACATCTGAATGCAACAGACAGTTGGAAGATTTTCAAGAGAGAGTAGAGTTTGAATCACAGTCAAAGGCTACTGATGTAAAAATAATGGGCTTCCTAACAAATATTGAGAAAGGTAAATTTTATGTTTTAGCTGCTGATCCTTTGATATTTCCACAATAGCTCTGGTATAGAGGCAGCATGGCATAGAGAATGAAGTTGGCATTTTCGTTGGTTGGAACTCTGTAATTTGACTTGGAAGTCTACGATGTATTGTATCAAACTTCAGCCGAGTTCTCTAATACATTTTGTAGCTGTTTTGAGGTGCTGGGCTACTGAACGAAGTGCCTTGCACATGCTAGGCTAGGTAAGAACTCAGCCAGGAATCCCCTTGAAACTGTTTCTGGGAGCCAGCTGTGTTGGCGCGCCTTTAACCCCAGCACTAGGAGGTAGACACACGTAGATGTCTTCAGGCCAAGGCTAGCCTGGGCCATGGAGTAAGTTCCAGGCCAGCCAGGCCTTACATGGTGAGACCCCGTCTCCAGAAAAGGAGGGGAGGGTTTGGTTTTGGCTGAGTTACCCTTGATGGTGTTAAGTTTGTGATCCTCCTACCTCAGACTCCAAGTGTCACCTGGTTCCTGGCTTAAGGTGATAATTTCAAAAGATGTATGGGCTTCATGATAAAGTAAAACTGGAGAGCCGGGCAGTGGTGGCGCACGCCTTTAATCCCAGCACTCAGGAGGCAGAGCCAGGAGGATCTCTGTGAGTTCAAGGCCAGCCTGGGCTACAGAGTAAGTTCCAGGAAAGATTCTAAAGCTACACAGAGAAACCCTGTCTCCAAAAAAAAAAAAAACTTGAGAGGAAATGATTCTCTTCAGGTATTTTTGTTGTGTTATTTTGCTATAAAACTGTATGACTTCATTACTGGTTCTGTAACCTATAACATGTTAGTAGGTTGTCCAACAGGAGTTGGAGATCATTAAGCAAATGATCTAGGAACTAAGGTCTCTTCTCCATGATCCTTTTTTCCATAGTAAGGAATCTACTCTTTTGCACACATAAGAAATACCTTAATAAAGAACAGTTGGTAAAATGTTAACTTGAGTATACCTTTTAAAACTTAGAAGCGCTGGGCGGTGGTGGCACACGCCTTTAATCCCAGCACTCGGGAGGCAGAGGCAGGTGGATCTCTGTGAGTTCGAGGCCAGCCTGGGCTACCAAGTGAGTTTCCAGGAAAGGCGCAGAGCTACACAGAGAAACCCTGTCTCGAAAAACAAAAAAAAAAAACAACCAAACAAACAAACTTAGAAGCATGTTGCAGTGATGTACTTGACAAAGTCTTGCAGACATTTTATTTGCATTGTATAAGCAAAGCCTATCTTTGTGGAGACACCTACTGGATGCACTGAAAACTAGCATGCAGCTGACTTACTGATAATTTCAGTATTTGAACCCATACCAATTTCATCTCCACATACTGTAGTGTGATGCTTTTATTCTAAATTAGAAATCGGGTACTCAGTACATGTGATTAAGCACAGTGGGGGTTACAGTTAGAGTGAAGTATGACATCCCTTGTTACAATTCAACTAGTGGGGGAGGAGAGACAAAATCAGTTCATTGGACTTGGTTTTGCAGTACAGAAATTAAAAGTATTAGTATGGGAGCTGAGAGATGGCGCTGTGGTTTAGAGCACTGGCTGCTTTCCCAGAGGACCTGGCTTCAATTCTCAGCACCCACCATGGCAGTGCACAATTATCTGTAGCTCCAGTTACAGGGGATTTGACACCTTTTTCTGGCCTCTATAGGTACCAGGCACACATGCAGTGAACATACATACATTGATGCAAACACTTACACCTACAAAATAAAAATAAATGTTAAAAAAAGAATTTTCGTATGTGAATGTGAGGGCTCTATGACTGTGACATCTGTCACCATTGGTAACTAGGGTTGATTCAGCTCATCTGGCTGGCTAGGCAGGGATACCTTTCCTTACTGCTCCATTTTGCATTCCTCCCAAAGCTGCATACTCAGTGGAAGAGGATGACCTTCCCTACTAGAGACCACCTGCTAGAACTCTCCAAACAAGAGCTCAAGAATATTAATATGAATTAGTATTAAAAACGTAATATTAGAAATGAATGTCAAAAGTTACTTTAGGAAGAAGTACTTTATCTGATCAACTTAAAGAAAAATAGATGTATAAATATAAAAATTACTTCAGTGGTTCTCAACCTGTGGGTCACAACACCCTTGGGTCAAATGGCCCTTTCACAGGGATCACCAAAGACCATCAGAAAACACAGATATTTACATTATGATTCATAACAGTGGCAAAATTACAGATATGAAGTAGCAACAAAAATAATTTATGGTTGGGGGTCACCACAACGTGTGAGGGATGGTATTAAAGGGTCTCAGCATTAGGAAGGTTGAGAACGACTGAATTATATTCAGACAGCATCACTTGGTGACAGGGACAGTCTCCTTAGGTGATGGCATCATTGGGCAGAGTCTACTTTCAGAAACAGGTCACTACCACATTACAAAGAGATGCTTGTAGAGCCACTGTTGAGCAGCTGAGCACTCTTATGAAGCTCAGGAACAATTTCATGTGCAGCCAGAGAAGGATCTGGATTGCAGAATTCATTTTGCATCTCTCCATGCCAGTTTGTCTCTTAAGAGTTTTATCACAGGGTAATTGTGGAATATATCTTGATTTTGGTTTAAGTTCCCACATGTTCTGCTATTTTCAAAGATGACGAGGTCATGGGGAAGTGGAAGCAGTGTGGGGTAAGTAATAATGAGAAGAGTTCCAAAAACAGACTTCCCATGCATGGTGTGGAGTTGATTGTCACCCTGTGGCCACAGATGGTTAACTCCTCTTTATTCCACCCTTTCGGTTTTTGTCATATTTTTTTCAATCCTAGAAGACTTAGCCGCCCCACATGTGGAACCAAGAGGGACTTCATTACCATTTTTGGTTTAACCCAAGAACAGCTTTTTGTTTAACAGATATCCTTGAAGACTGTTACTTATTAGCAAATTGTGTTGTAGGAGCTTTATTTTAAGACTTCCAAATGAACTCAAAGATTAATTTCTGAGAAATAAATGTTGGTATTTGTGTTAAGCTTAGTGAAGTTTTAAAACTTATATTCTAGGCACTCAACAGAGGCAGTTATTATCCCGACTGCAAATTGACCCAGTCATGGTAGAGACAATGGATATGAGTCCAGGTGGGTAATGTTTACATTTTCATTGTAATGTGCCCGGTCTCTGTTGCCATTCCCATTCCTTACACCTCACTCAGTGTAGCATGTATCTCTTAGATCCTGCCCTAAGACAACACAATTAGATGGGTGAAAGTTTTTTAGGGCCAGGATGTAAGATCTGCATTTCCTTCATATGTGGTGTTTTTGCCTCATTCATAAGCTTTCTCTCCCCGTGCCTTGCCTTCTCAACCCTTAGCTGCTCCCTTTCCTGCTGTGACAGCAGCTAGAGTCCCCGATCCGCCTTCTCCCTGTGCTGCTCATTCTCGCTGTCTGGGCAGCTTGTGTCCCTAGCTCACCTTCTCCCACCTTTGCTGTTTTTCCAGAGCTGATTCAGCACCCCCTCAGCGACAGTTCAACTTACGCAGTGTGCTGACGTTGCTGTACAGTCTCCTTCTCAGGGACCACTAACCACTTGTCTAAACCTTCTGACAAGCAAGTCGACTCACCCCGATGCACACCCTGCGGGCTGCTTCAGGATGGAGTGCGGTCCTTATTTTTATCTGTGTTTTTGGTTTCCTAATCCCTGCCAGGTCCACATTCAGTGCTTAATAAATGCAGGGAATAGTTGGATACCTGGAACTTTTTCTTTTTGACAGAGTTTGATTATGTGGCCCAAATGACTCCAACTCGCAGTCCTGCTTTCATGTCCAAGTGCTGGGATTACTTGTGCCACCATGCCTAACACTTCTTTTCTTGTGTTTCCCGGGAAGCTGCCCTTTGTTGGAAGTCCTGGTCCTTGATTCTTTTCTCTGCTTGCCGCTTCCTAAATCATCTTCCCCTCTCAGAACTCCATGGTCATTGTTTCCCTAGTTCTGTACGTCTTAACAGGTGCCTTTGCTCTCCAAGGTTGGCCTCTATCTAGACTTGAGGTTCTACCCATCTGAACAGGATGTTGCTCTCCTCCTCGCCTTAACCCTGCTTCTCCTGCCTTCTGCCTTTTGAGTGCTGAGATGTCTGACCTTGTAACACCGCATACAGTTTCCACATAGGAGTCTTGTTTTAAGTGTAGTGGCCAAAGTCTGCATTGTTGGACCCACTTCATCGGCTCTTGTGCATCCCCCCCCCTTTTTTCCCTTGTTTTTACCTTCATTGCACAGCTCAGCTTGAAGTATTAGGTAGTTCTGTGAGGCTTGTGAGTGAGAACGGTCTTGATTCTGTCAAATTCTTCATGTTCTGTTGAGTTTCTTTTTAACATTTTGTTTTGTTTTATATGTGTCATACTTTGTTATTTCTTTGAGGCTGTTAAAAGTTGGTTTTGACAGTTTTTCTTTTCCCTCCTTGGTTTTGTTTATCTAAGTTGTTGCTTTTGACTTTTATGATAGAGGTTTTCCACATGCAGTTCTTTGATTATCTAATTAAAAAGAGAATCAGTAAAAAGTTGATTGGTATTCTGGATTCTTGAGTTGGGGCATGTGTGTTTGGACTTTGTTTTTGAATGTGGATCCTGTATGGAGAATGACTTGGCAGGTTGATTTAATCTGGGGTACCCTGATTATTAATAGCACTTAAGCCTTCTTAGTCTGGTCAGTTTTACCAATAAAGGTCTTCTAAATATAATAACCTGATTGTCAGAGTTCAGATAGCTCAGTCAGTAGAGGAGGACCATGGAAAAACCTTAATATTAATTATTATATAGTGTTTACTTAATTCCTCTCCCTGTTTCTCTATGAACTTCCTGGAGCATGGCTGGCATTTCTGCAATTTATTGGGAGTCTAAAGTCCTACCTTTGCCAAGGGAGGAGATGCATAGAATGGGTTAGGGTGTTGAGGAAAGCTGCCTTCTAAACAGTCTTTCACAGTGTTCATTCTTGCTCTTTGGTTGTGTACCTTTCTGTCAGATAGCTCATCCCTGCCTCTGCAGCAGAGATGGGCAGGAGGGCACTCTAAAGTCTCCACTGTAGTGGTAGGCTGGCTGTGTGAGGTTCCAAACAAACTAGGGGTGTGACTGTGGCTCTAGGAAAGGTTCGTCGTTTCCTTCTGAAGTGAGCCTCTGGCCTGCCTCTCTTCCGCCCTTCCCAAGGTCCTCTTTGTTGCTGGTCCTCAGTCTTTGGAGAACCTGGTGTTCTACATTAGATGGCTTTATTACCATCTTAGAATCAGTTTCCACTCCTGCTTTTTTACTTTGAAAATATGCTTGTTCATTTGCAACTATTTTCTTTATGGGTATATACCTTTTTGTTTAAAAAGTAAAACTTTTGATCACCATTTTTTGTGAGGCTTCAGAAAGGGGTAGAAAGTAAATGCTTGAGCTCAGCCCAGGTCTCTACCCAGACAGACTGTTACCCTCCTCTATGCAGGGGTTCATTGTCACCTAGTGCCTGTACTGAGCTGAGGTAGGCAGGGCATAGATGTATAGAGTAGAGACATCTAGTTTCTTTTTCCATTTGTGTATGTGTGGCGTGCATGTATGTATGCATGTTTACATACATAGGGGTTCATATGAGTGTATGTCCATGTCCATGTGGAGGCTTAGGGTTGATGTTAGGAGTCCTCCATCCATCTTCCATCTTATTCTGCAGCTGAAATGAAGAGGTGGATCACCAGTCCCACCTGATAATTACATGTGTTCTGGGGGATCAAACTATAGTCCTCATCCCTGGCTCAGCAAGCACGGTAGCAATCTCCCTGGCCTGAAACTGGATTCAGTGCACATTTCCCTGAACTCGGTAGGCCTGTGACCCCTGTGCTCCAGTGTTCCCTCAGCTTCTTATCCTTCTGTTCTCATTGCCTTCCGGTCCCCTTGCTCAGTACAGGGCTAACTACCTGTGTTTTCTTCTCATCATTCTTTTTGTGTGTTCTGTGCCCTGCTGAGGTATGAACTGGAAAGGACAGCTACCTACACAAAGTGCAGAGTGGTAGGAAGGGAATGCAGATTCCTTAGACCAAGTTCTGGTAGCCAGACACTCAGTGAGTCTTTGAAGAGCTTTGGACTGCCTCGGTAACATGGAAGGAAAACTGCCAAATCGGCTTCTGGGTGGAGTGTCCAGTTGATGGGAGTTAAACACTGATCACAACACTGCTGCTCTTCTCTCCAGAGGTCAGAGTGTGAATTTTTACCTCACTTCTAACTAGGTAGGAGCCCCAGCGGATCTCAAACTCAATAAATCTAAACTTGACGGTTTTCCATTGGCTCCTCCTCTCCCTGTGCTTTCTACTTTGGCCTCCTGTCTTCCTTCTGTCCACTTTGCCTTCCTCACTTGTGGTTGCAGTGGTAGCCCTTGGGGGTCCTGCTGGTTGATGGAGTGTGGAGCATGTTCTTTTGTCATGTGATGGATGAAGGGGAGGATTTGATCTTTATTTGTTTACTTATTTGAGGCCGGGTCTGTCTTTGTAGGCCTGGCTGGCCCGGAACTGACTGTAAATTAGGCTGGACTTGAACTCACAGATATCCTCCTGCCTTTGCCTCCCGAGTGCTAGGATTAAAGGTCTATATAACCACTCCCAGCATGGGAAGAGAATATTTTAGCTCTGTTTTTCTAGAAACCTGTTGATCATGTTACCTCCCTGCTTAAGAACCTCTTACTGTTTCCAGACCAAACTCTACAGTGGTGAGGCATGTGATCCATCAGTACATTCTTTGTTACCATTCTTTCTCTCATACCATCACAAACAACTCTTAGCTACTCTGCATTCCTCACCTTTTCAAATCGGAGCCTTGGGAAAGCCCCTTCCTTGCTCCATGTATTTTTCTTTGCCCTATTGGCTCTCTGACTCTTCCTGCTCTGCTCTACTCACTCTTACTATTCACCTTACATATTCATCTTCAGCAAGCTTTTCTTTGGCCTTTCGGTTGGAGGAGGTGCTTCCCTTGTGTTTCCACCAACACCTACCTCTTCATTCTCTTTCTGGGCTTTGCTGTTCTAGGATTGAGTGTGTCTGATTTTCTCTTCCTCTTTATCTACGTACTTAGCACAGTTCTTAGTTGCTCAGTAAATAAGCATTCAGTGAATTAATAGCCTGAATTTTGGTCTCTTTTTATTTGTTGGCTTTAGAAGAAGCAATTCGCTTTGGTCATACGATGGCATACTGATAGGTTAGCATGTCCACTTAGAACTCAGTTGTCATATTCTGTGAAGTACTCAGCCTGACATGCTGCAGATGACTTGAGCTTGTGGCTTGCACTGGTTAGTGTGATACACATTCATCTTAAAATTCCCTTCTTCCAAAATAGTTTTCTGTGTACAGCTGGGTTAAGTTAGGCTGACTGAATTCTTATTAGGCAGTGTTCTCTGTAAATATTACTGTGAGGAAGGAGTAGAACCCACCTTGGAAAAGCAGCTCAACAGGTTTTGAATCATAACTTTAGGAAACATGAAGATTCTTAAATTCCTTCTAGTTTTGGGGGAAAAAAAACAGCTTGTCCTTTTACTGTGTACTGTTCCTATCCCAAGAGATACACTATAGGAAGGCCTTTCTCTGCTGTAGGCAGAGGGCATCATTTGTAATATGCCATGTGAGGGAAGGGCTGTCTGAGTTCTTTGAAAAGATGTTTGCAGTAAGATTTACATTCTTGTTCCTGAGTAGAAATTAGTTGTGATTTTCTTTCAAAGTAATTGTAATAATATAAAAGATTGACATTCTTCTCACATGTATGATTTTGAGAATAAAAGCTATATTCAGAAGTAAATATTTATGGCCAATTTTTTTGGCTCAGATTACTATGACATGGAATCCATGGTCCATGCAGACACAAGATCATTTATTCTGAAGAAGCCAAAGCTGTCTGAGGAAATAGTAGTGACACCAAACCAGGAGTCGGGGATGAAGACTGCAGATGCCCTTCGGGTACTTTCAGGACACCTTATGCAGACACGGTAGATGGTTTCTTTTTCTTGTGTAGCTACTTTATGTGATTAGATAGTGCAGGTCAACTGTTAGTTCCCAGCTTCCCTGTTCCTGTAGCTCCCACTAGATGGTGCTTTTATTGATTCACTGGCTAGGCCATGAATTCAGTTTTAACAAATTTGTTCATCTTTCTTGTTCAGAAATCCATTAAATAGAAATAAAAGCTCAGAGTATAATTTAACTCCATTGATAAAGGTTTTAGTGTTCTGTTTTGTCTTTAAATGTAAACCCAGGGAATCAAACTTCCAAAGCTGGGTAACCGAAATCAGGAAGTCCTTCTGCAGGTATAACGAGCTAAGGCTTGTGTGGTTCCTTCCTAAGAAAGCAGAGTGTTCAGTAAAGAAACATGTGTACAGATGATAAAATCAGTATAAAAGTAAAGCTGATGGCCAAGATGCTTGGAGCATCTATGCTAATTGTTCTTTGGCTTGGTTTGGTTTGGTTTCTGGTTTATTTCCATATTGACCCTACAAGGATCAAATGGACAATGGAGTCAAAGTTGAGAGGATATTGTCATTATTAGTAAGTACAGGCTAAAAGGTCACTGGTGATGCTGTTACAACCTGCCCTTGTGTGTTAGCAGGATCTACTTATGCTATAGCAGGAAGTCAGGCTAAGGCTATCTTAATGAACCAGATGCAAAGCAATGGAGTAACGATTCTGTTGAAGAGGACTTTAGGAGGCTCAGCATTTTGTGTTTTGTTTCCCTAATTCTATGGTATTTTTTATCTGTCTGGCAGAGATCTTGTACAACCAGATAAACCTGCAAGTCCCAAGTTTATAGTGACGCTGGATGGTGTCCCCAGCCCCCCAGGATACATGTCAGATCAAGAGGAGGAGATGTGCTTTGATGGAATGAAATCCGTAAACCAAACTGCAGCCTCAAACAAGGGACTCAGAGGTCTCCTCCACCCACAGCAGTTGCATTTGATGAGCAGGCAGCTTGAGGACCCAGATGGTAGCTTTTCCAACGGTGTGTTGAGAGCTCAGACTTTGCCTTCTCAGCCCACTGTCATGGAGAAGGGAGTCTTGGCCTGTTTCTGTCTTGAGTGAATATTGGTTTGAGGCCTCACTTCATTTCTGTTCAGTAGCCTGTTTTCTTCTATTACACACAACCACCAGTTCAGTCTCACACTCTCCCTGGGCTTGTTTCACAGGCGTTCTGTGATGCTCGTGTTAAAATGGAGTCCAGTCATCGTGATCTAAAATACCTCTTTATTGTGATTGCTGAAGGATGGACCATCGTTCTTGATGCATGGGTTGCCTTTTCTTCAGAAACTTCCTTTCCCTATGTGCCAGCAACCATAAACTTGAGAGAAAGATGGGTTTCCATTTTGGTGTTTTCAGCACCATAGTATTATTTCTCTGGAAGGAATTTCTTACCTAATCTGATAGGATGCTTGTTCCCAATATCAGAAAGACATTATTATTAGTATTCAGTGAGCTCAGGTGAGATGGTGCCATGCTTTTAGGTAGCCATTTGTGTTTTCACCACTTGTTACCTCCCCGATACCAGTGGTAGGTGTGGCACCATCAATCCTTTTTCCCTTTCAGATTTATTGTCCATGAGTATTTTGCCTGCATGTATGAAAGTGCAGCAGCACATGCATGCCTGGTGCTTCATCAGATCCCCTGGAAATAGTTACACACAGCTGTGAGCTGCCACATGGGTGCTGGGAACTGAACCTGAGTCCTCTGCCAAGAGCAGCCAGTGCTCTTACCCACTGAGACATCTCTCCATCCCCCCACCAATACTTGTCCTTCCTTATTTAGATACACTTCTTAAGCAGTTAATTACTAAATCTTAAACAGATTCAAGGAGGAAAAAAAAAAA